AGGGGACACAGCTATTCAACAGATCTACCTTTTTCAGGAATGGGAATTCCACTAAGCAGGGAACATAGAGAGGGCAGAGTATTCAAGGGTTTCAGCCAGGAAAAGAGCTGTAAGAACTATCCAAAATGCAGGGGGGACCAGGTTGTCTGCTATCTCAGCTTCTACAAGGGACAGAGGCTTACATTTTCCTGTGATATGACAGTTTGAAAGGACACGTGGGGCATTCCTGTCCCTTTAGCTACATTTGGGAGGCCCTGCGTACTGTGTCAGAGCATACAGGAAGACCACAGGGCATCCCCTTCCACTTCGAATCAGGCAGGCTCTCGGAGAAAAGTTTTTCAAGCAAAAAGTCATTTATTTACCCATACATTTTCCTGACCACTAACCTTTTCTGCTCCCTTGGTGACTTTAATGAAATACTTCATTGTTTTATTAAACCGATTACTTGCATTTGGTTGTTATTAAAGACTGTAAACCAGTCTTTTAAAACTTTAAAAACTTTTAAGAAATAAAAAATAAAAAGACGAACAAATCTGTTCTTAAGTAAATAAAATGATATGGTTACACTGGCCAAAATCCTGTTGCAAAGTGCGGTGAATTGCACTTGAGTAGGCCCATTGACTCAAGGGGGCTTGGCGAGTCAACTCCTACATACATTCCATTGAGTCCACTGGGCCTACTCCAACTACAACGAAGTTAAAGTAAGTTGCAGAATGAGTAGGCTCATTTGGACCAATGGAATTCATGGAGGAATTGATACACCAAATCCCTATTAAATCGATAAGCCTACTTTAGTGCAACTTACTATAGTAAGAGGATCTTGGCCATTTGCCCCTAAAAAAGAATGTGCTATGCTGGATAATATTTGCCTTCAAAGCCTTTATCAGACTAAAATATGTTGAGATTAGGGTCCCAGTCATGCTGGAGCCTAATCTGGATCAGAACCATAATATATGGTCAGAAGGAAATTAACACATTCACCCCTGCTACCATGTGACATCCAAAGCATGTGTGGCAGCTGCTATCTGTTCCAGTATGTGGGGTTTCTAGCAGGAAAATGGTGCAGAAACAGAACAGTGAAATCCTTTATCTTAATTTGCCAAAGTCCTAATCTGGATTATGGCTTCCAAATTGGCCAGAAATAATGTATGGCCTTCTAGGTGAAAGATTTGATCAGACCAAAACTGGGGCATCTCAAATCTATACTTCCTCAACAATGCATTTTTGCATACTGTTAATATGAAACAGTATTTAAAATACACAGAGACAGAGGGCTTTAAATCTGTGAGCATTTTTTTTGTCCAAAATAAGGGGAGAAATACGAGGAAATTTCAAAGGCTTATATGCATCAGTCAGTTATGCGCTCTCATGCTCTCACTTAATCAATTGACTTGCAGAGGCAATTATAGCGAATTTACCAGCTGCAATATGCTAAGCTGATGTCCACTTTCTAGTCTAAAAAGTGTAGTCTGCTGCCAAACAGTGGAGGCAGCATAAGATGGCCTTTGAATTCTTATCCCCAAGCCCCACAAATTATTACTCTAAGCCAAGACTGGAACAGGCAACTCGAAACCAAGCCCTAGGAGGAAAGAACTGGGCATGTTTGGCCTTGAGTGAAGAAGACAGCAGGGAGAGAGGATAGCACTTTTCAAATGCATTCAGAGGAGGGGCAGGATCTCTTTTCGATCATCCCAGAGTGCAGGACATGCAACAATGGTTCAAGTTACAGGAAGCCAGCTTTAGGCTGAATATCAGGGGGGAAAACCATCTGAACTGCTAGAGCAGTATGACAATGGAACCAATTACAGTGGTGCCTCGCAAGACAATTGCCTCGCAGGATATTAATCCGCAAGACGATCAGTTTTTGCGATCACTATCGTGCCTCGCAAGATGGTTTTTTCTATGGCCGTGCTTCACAAGATGTTTTTTCCCCAAGGCCGATGCCTTGCAAGACGACTAAATTTCATTCGTCTTGTGAGGTTCCCATAGGGAACCTCGCAAGACTTTTTTTCCGCAAGATGACGATTTTCGCAGAACGAATTAAAATCGTCTTGCAAGGCACTACTGTACCTCGGGAGATGGAGTGCCTGAATATTAGGAGAGAAGGGGCGTAGCAAAATCGTCTTGCGAGGCACCACTGTACCTCGGGAGATGGAGAGTGCCCGAATATTAGGAGAGAAGGGGCCTGGCACATCTACACAGGTAGAGCATTCCATAAAGAGGGGGCCACCACAGAGAACGCCCCGTTCTTAGTTGTAGGTTTCCTGACCTCCCTTGGGGTGGCCACCCATGACATTAATGCCTGGGAGGTGAAACTGATGTACTTCAGGGATGGGCAACTGTGGACAGTCCAGAGATGCACCCACCTAATCTTCCAGCTGCTGAGACTTCCATGGTCTCCACCTGTCACTTTTTTAGATACGGGCAGTGACCAGAAGTTCACTTTTCAGCCTTCTGAGTGTGTGGCTGTTCATTTTTAGGCCACCACTTTTTCAGCACACAGGGGAATTTTGGAATTCCACCCACACAGCCCATGAGCGGCCAGCATCCTGCCTTAACAGTTTCTGCCCTCTTACTAAATAAAGTCACAGAATCCCAGGTAACTAAACCAAAAGCAGCCATAAAATATTACACAGTCTTGCTTTTAACCCTAATGCATACCCTTTTCTGCATGGCGCCTCAAACATTCAAGCTCTCTTGATAGCGTCTTCTAAAAGATCTGTTGTGATTAATTTAAACTTACAGAAGAAGAGACAAATTAGAAATAATCAAAAGCAATTTTAAAAACTGCCCAGAACCAACCAACCCATTTCAGCAGATATATGGGGATCTGTAAGTTGTTTGACGGCCTGGATAGCTCAGTGAGTTGGCTTGGCTGTAGATCTGAAAGTTAAGAGTTTGATTTCTCACTGTGTCTCCCAAAAGAAGAGCTAGCCTGTGTTGTTTTGGGCAGACTGTACAGAGTCCGTTCTGTTCCTAGGAATCCCTAAAAAGGACCATCGTAAGTCTGAATTGACTTGATGGCATGTTATTGTTGTTAATTTGATATTTCGTTGACACCACACGCTGATACTTTTACGCTACTATTCCTTCA